CGGAATTATTTTGATGTCAATTGCACATATTCTGATTACTGTATTGATATGAATGCCAGGAGAATGCACATACTTTTGATAACACCGCTGGTAACTGTGCGTTGCTAACTTCTTGGTTGAATTGGGTGTTTTCAAATAATGGCTTAGGTGTTAGTAGGGCATAAAATGCAAAATTTCAATATTACATAGCTGTTTCCAATAACGCGAGAAAGTATGTGCTGTTGTAGTACTATTAATTTCTCGCTACCGCTTACGGGGCAGAGAGAAAGTTACGTAATGCTGCGCGAAAAAAACTGCGAATTTTCCGCAGAAAAACTTATTACAGGACCCTGGTAACGAAAAAGTGGATAAATCCAGTTGCTAATTTTATGAGAAAAAATCTTCTAACACATAGTGTAGCCAGAATCCGTTTTGTTGATACCGCAAAAACGAATGACGGCAAACCATCTGTTTGCACGTCCGTCTGTGAACAATGCTAGCGGCTTAACCGTTCAGTTAATTTTCTCCAAAATTTATATTCCTCAATCGATCTTGCCGATGTCGCGACGCCTTGAATCTGAAAATTGTAATTTCGGGGGATGTGGGGCACTTTACCCCTGGGACATTTTCAAAAAAAAAAAAGCTCTATCGTTTTTTATTGAATTTTGTTGGTGAGAAATACGTAGTAATGGCTCAGGTCTCATTTTTATTGAATACTCTAACTTATCTAAAATTGCAAAAATACAAAATTTGTTCATCCTCTTCCTACAACTACAATTATGAAGATAGAGATTTTTCCCTTAATGATATCTGTTCCTTAAAGATGGATGTTTAAATAAGTTAAAGTACAATTTTTCGAAAATTTGAGTACTTTCAGCGTAAATTACGTGCTGTTTTAGCACCACTAGTTCGATTTCGTCGCAGCGTATGTATTACCGCCACTGTCTGCAACTTACCCCAGCATTTCAAATACTCTAATCACTTAACATACAATGTAGGCTTTCACGGCCGGTTTCCATATCAAAATCAGTTGTTTCCGGGCTTGAAGGCCGTGGTCCAATGGAGACTTGTCCATACGTTTCGCCTGCAATCTACCTACTCTAATCACTGTTGTAAACTCAAGATGTCATGGGCGTCATTTGTGAATAGTATGTGCACTGCAATTCTGGTGACCATATTCAATTAGGTACCTATATTACAAAATTGTACATAGGGATGGCTTGTGCATGAAAAAAAAGTGCCTCAAGATTTTCACGAACTGTGTGTAATAACTCTCACTAAGGAAGACGACCATTAGAAAGTTGGGAATATTAAGAGCTGCAACACACAAGTATTATTAAGCATGGTACTTGTTATTGGAGTTCTCCTGTCATACCATAAGGAAAGGGAATTTGTATAAATGCCAAAAAAAAAAAAATGAGTATGTATTTGTTGTTCTCCGTAATTGTCTACGATTGTATTTATATAAACGTGAAATAATGTTTTAATCTTGGAAATAATCATTTGTGATATACTCTGCAGATGCAAATAAAATGTACAATGCTACCAGAAATGCTCAATACCAAGTGCTATAACGCACTAGTACAAAGCTGAAACTGCAGAAACGTTTGCATAGTATATTGTGGTATGCTGATGTTGATTTGAAAGTCGACTTTTCTTCTGATATTGCTGTCTGCACGTACTACACAAGCAGAGGCAAAGGGTGTAGATTCTAGGCATGGGTGCCCTGGCGTATCCTCCCAAGCAGTTGATGGGCAAGATGGAAAAACAGCAAGACTGACAACAATGCTGGGAGGTGATGTGTAAGTTGCAGACATGCTAGCCTGTGGGTTCGTGGCTACAGGAAAACGCTGGAAGCACTCTGAACCATACACACGGCATAGATTGCCCCCATAACATACCCAATCTTTTGTCAATTAACTAATGTTTACTTCAGATGTGGTTAATTGTACATTGACGAATCAAACATATTTTGAGCAGTAATCATAAGTTAAATAAAAAATACATATCACCGCCCTAGAAACATAAGTTATTCGTTATTTACTTCTTTCAGATAAGACAAGATAAATTCACATCACACCAGACAGTTGGCTCAGGAAAGCCAATACTTTCTGTACACCAAGGTCAGCAAAGGCATTGTTTTGTTGTAATAATGCCTATTTCCATGAAACCAAGAAGATGAGTATCTGACTGAATTTGGCTGAGAAGTTTTTCAACTCTGTGCTTTCAGCACTGACTTACGCCTATGTGATTTTCATCATTTCAACCCCTTCAGAAACACCCACGGGCATCCCAATTCAGCAGATGATGACGGCCTAATGACTGCAGTGAGGAGTTTTTTCATTTTCAGAACCACTTCCTTAATGGCTTTCATTGCCTCATTTTCAGTGACATATGAACTTTAAAAATATGTCGAGTGTGTGTCAAAATATATTATAGTAAAGGCAACTTTTTTATTCTTTTGCATTCCTTATTCAGTGCTTGTATTGAAGTCATTTAATGTGATACTTTGGTAGCAATTTAAAAGGTTCATTATTATAGTCGTCAGCAGAATTGTCTTTCATATAATATCACATCGTATTTTCCATGTCTAAAGCATTTCACACGCATGTTGGTCTGCATCTGACTTCTTTGTCGCCGAAGTTGGTGATCAATTGGTGCCATTTGATTCATTGCTGTCATTGTGTGAGGAAAGTGGGTCACCTTCCCATTCAGGGCAGCTTCGTGTATTTTCATTTAACTTAATTACATATTTTTTTCCGCGTCTCAGTTACTTTCTTGCCTCTTTTTTTGTTTTCAGTCTTGTCTATCTTTTGGGTCGTCGTCCGTCCCTCTTTGACGCATGGCGTCATGCCAAATTCCAGATTTTCAGAGGCCTACCTCGTTCCATTGTTCCTCCAGGAGGTCAGTAAAGGAGATACTTGATTAGGCCACCTTGTATTTATGATTCTTCTCGAATCGCCGTAATATGGTAAAGGTTGTAACTTTCTAATCTGTCCGTAATTTGTTGCATCAATTCCTAAATCTCTACAATTCAAATTATCTGCATTCACGAAATTCGGCATTTCTCCTTAATTAATCAATTTCTATTGCACATAGTTTCTGTCTTTGACGTCCCGTAAAGACCCCAACTCCACCATAGATTAGAATGCTTTCAATAATAATCATTACAATAACTTTTTGTCCACGACTCTATACAGCCTCCATTCAACGTTCTTATAGCTCCTGTCTTTGCTATACAATCAACATTCTTTTCACTATTTCCAGTCTTAATTAAGACAACTCAAATATTTAAACAAACCACTAATTTAATACTTTCGACCTAACTTCCACCTATTCGATTTTTTTGAAATTTAAGTCCATTCTTTACCTTGGCCTCTACTTTATTTCGAGACGTGTACGGCAAGTCGTTTCTAGCGAAAACATCAGCGTGACCCTTGAAATATTAACAATTAAATAATTCATTTACTGTTTTGTTGTCAGAAGTTTTAAGTATATTTCTGAAGGGTTGTGAAATTTTCCAATATCTCCGCAGTCTGTGTCTCACGGACACTAAACGCACTTTTCCAGCATTCGAATCGTTGTTGTAGACTCGCGAGGTCTTAAACGTCATTTTTAAACAGCGGGTACACTGCAGATGGCCTGCTGGCGGGCTTATGTTCTGGACGCTTGATGCCGGGTGTGATGGCAGGTTCGTGCTCGAAACAGTTTTCGTGACAGGCACCCCAAATCCTCCAGTTCAAACTTTCGTTTTTAGTCGTATGTTTCCGAAAAAGTTAGATATTTTTCTTCCACAATACTTCAAAATATCCTTCGCGCTTCGACTCACTTTAAGGACCGTGTGGACATTTTTGAAGAAGAGAAATCGTCGAGAATCAGATCTAAACGAACGAAGAGTTTCTCTGCGAAATGACATAAGCATTTGTTCATCTAATTGTGGAGACTACTGGATGTTTTTACCGGATGAAATTACTTATTCAGTGTATTCTACAGCATCCTTTTCTTGTGCCACTATTATCTGATCATCCGCAAATAGCAAGTGTATTTCTTATCCTTTCACTAAAATACCCATTCCTGGACATAATTTCCATCCTTCAAGGAGATATCCAAATGCATATTGAAAAGTAACAAACTAAACACATTCTTGTCTTCAACCTTCAGTTTTAAATTCCATATGCGGGAGTTTCTGGTCTTTATTTTCATCACATCTCCCGTATGCACACACGTCTTTCTTATGAATCGAATGAGAGATTGTTCAAGTTCCAAATCTCGTAGTTCACTTCATTTATATGTAGTGTGTCATTGGTTTTCTCCAATTCAATAAAAAAATCGAAGCCCTCTTCCTTCCCGACTAATTTTCTGAGATATGTCATAATATATTATCTCTGCAGGATATTCCTTTAGTAAAACCAACTTTCTCCAAGATTTTCATGAACATCCAACTAGTTTCAGCTTCTATCTGTTCATCACTACTTTGCTCAGTTCTATCTGCCTGTTGATGCCTTTACAGTTCTACCTCTACAGTTAGGGTTGCCATAAGTATAACAATGGAATTCAGGACATCTGAAATATATTCAAGAGCAAATTGCTTATTTCTATACAACTAAATAGTATATCAAGTAAACCATAAAATAGAAGCTCAAAATTAACACATTTTCGAGAATAACAGAGTGACCTCTTTTTCTAGGAATATTTTTTCTGGTTATCCAGGTCATTTCCTCAGCCATTTGTATGAAAACATTAAGATACATTGTTGATTTATTATTGATACATAGTACATGATACCGTGTGTTTTAAATGTCATACTTTCCTATTCTTTCAATGTGTAATTACGTGTTCTGTCTAGTATCCGGTGTTTATTGGGGTGGTATTTGCAGTATTATGGTGTACAGTAATATGTGTCAGCAGATTATATCTTGGAATGCATACTGTTTTGGTGAGTAAAATTTTGCATATTCTTAAAATTGTAATTCACGTATAGTGTGGAGTTTTGATGAGCTAACAAATTATCGTCTTTACAGGACATTGTTGTGGGAGTACTACTAGCTCTTCTCTTGATGATACCAGTTGTCCCTCTTGTCGATGCTTTGGATTACTATTTGTTGACGAAAGAGTGGTCTCCAATATTCCTTTTTTCAATTGCCATTTTACTAGTGGTATTCTATCCTAGTAGTGACCGCTGGACCCCTACAAGGTAAGAAACTCGAACTATGTATTAAATTTGTAGTTATCCTTGGAACATTTTCTTCAAATTTCCGCCCCCTCCACCTCGTTTGGCGCCTCACCTGCCC